TTCTTCGAAGTTTGCCAAAGATTGTTGTATAATGTCAGACCAGTCGGTAGCACTTTCCTCAAGTTCAAAAGGTCTGATCTTGCAGCACAAGAAGTTAGTTTTTACTGCGTTTTGAGGTGTTTTTGGGGGGTTATTTTTGTTCATCGTGTTTTATATATTCTGCTATATGGCCTCTCTACATGCAATAGCCATCTTGGAATGCGATGCTGTTCAATGAGGGTGACCTGGCCAGTCCATTAAATGTGTGCCTTACTGAGCACTTTTAGTTTCGTCGATATTTTTACATTCGTCCTGATCGAACATTCTGTTACGGAGCCTCCGTAATGTCTGGCTTAATTTAATGATTCGATATATAATATTACTAACATAAATTAAATTATTGATTCGATATGTAATACTAAAACAGCTGGATGTTTTTCTATAAAAGCTGTCTGCGTGCTATCTGTGGAGTTAAGCTTCAAGATAGGACATTTAACGTAGACCAGTTTTACAGATGTAATATTGGAGGAATCGAGACTTTTCTCATACAGTCTCAGTTACGTTGGACTCGTCAGGTCTTGAGAATGTCTGATGACAGGATACCCAAGATCTTAATGTAGAGCCAGTTAGATCAGGGCTACAGGAATGTAGGACGCCCATGGCTAAGATTCAAAGACAAGCTGAAGAGCAATTTGTTAGCTGTCAATCTACCTCATAAAACCCTCGAACGCTTAGCCTTGGAGCGGGTAGAATGGAAATGTGTTTTAGTGGATTCAGTAGTTTTCAATCTGCTTGTCTATTTAGTCTTCAAGAAGCGAGAGTAAGATCTAAAAGGTCATTCAATCTAACAGTGATCTCATCCGATATTCCTCACTCTTCCTCCATATGCAACCACGTTTGTGAATCTCTAGCGGGTCATGTGCCACTTGAGATTATCACACAAAATTTCATAACTGAATCAATTGGTTAAGTCGTCAAAACCTCATACGTCGAAACCGACGGGAGAATCCATTATATATATATATATATATATATATATATATATATATATATATATATATATATATATATATATATGCAAAATTGTTGCCATTTTAATTTCGTGCATGGTCCTGGTTTGTTTTTGATTTTGTCGATTGCACAGAAAAGTAGGGTCAGTTGGACACCGTCTGAGAGAAAAAGAGCACAATGTCGCATTTAACTCTGCCAGAAATTTGGGAAAGCCGAAAGCTCCAGTGCAAACATTTCAGATTAACCGGGTGCCAATCTGAGGAAAGTGCAGAACATTCGGAAATAGTTGGATGAGATCTAATTGTATTTCCGAAGCTGTTCGAAGTGATCAATAGTGATGGCGACGTTATACCTCTATTCGTCTTTTCATAGGGCATTAGAATCAACAAAGAAGCCTACATCATGTGCACTGAGGATGTAGTGCAACAGTATTCTGCACCATGACACACAAACAAAAGAAAGCTGTCATGGCTCTCAGACAATTTCTGTGAGTACGTCGCCACTTAAATCTAGCCACCTAACTCCCCAAACTGCAAACTCATTCATTATTGTGTTGTGCGCAGTTGAGCGAAGACAAACAAATCTCCTTGTGACACCAAAGATGAACTGAAGTCAAGCATTGTGGCAGCATTCACTGCCTAGACCGCCCAGAAGAGATGCAGGACATCCCGAAGTCGTCTGTAGCCCGTAGTTGAGACCAATGGCAATTTTATTGAATAAGTTTACTCTTAAAATATCTGGAAATACTAAAGTATTACAAGATATTTTTGTGTAATATTCGTATATTTATGTGTTAAAATGAGATGTCTGTGTTATTTTAATTTTTGCGTAATTTAGACGACAATTTATCCATCGCACCATGTACATCTGTGTGTGTGTTTGTGCCTGTGTCTATGCACACACACACACACACACACACACACACACATATATATATATATATATATATATATATATATATATATATATATATATAGGGAAAGTTTGCGTGCATGCACCCATTCAGCAAGATGCAAATCTGCGTAACGCAATGCAGGACAAAGCGTTGTTAGAACCGATGTGCTTGGACACGAAGGGCGATGATGACCAAGTAAAAATATAAAAAATCATGCTTATATTGATTATATATATATATATATATATATATATATATATATATATATATATATATATATATATATATATAAAGATTTGTTTCGTTGTACAAAATTTTATCACTGCCATGAATAGACAAAAATTATCTTAATAATAATTACCACTCATGATAATAAAAATTTAAAATGACAAACGGGCTAGCTAACCAGTTTCGTACCTTGATCAACAGAGCTAAATCGAGGTAAATAGAGTAAATTATATAAAAAAAGAACAATGGACGAAGTTTATTGGTGGGAAAAAAATTAAATGTTAATTAGTTGGAGGCCGAATATAAAGTCCTTCTGTTTACAAAGAGAAGGTTTTAAAGATAGAATATAGATGGCCTTCAAAATTTTTAGGTCGTAATTTGAGTGTGGGACTTGCTAAGGATGGTAAAAGCGTAGGCACTAAAACTAACAGCACAATTATGGCGATTTATAAGGTGTTCTGCGATGGAAGACCCACATGTATTGGTCAGAATGTCCGAGGGAGTGTACTTCCGGTTTCGGATTTTCGCTAGAACGTGTTGTTTTATTCTAGCATCTAGCCTTTGCGTCGTTCTATGTAGTACGAACAACAACTACATTTAAAGGAATAAATTAGTGAACTATTATGGTGTTGTGGGAGAACATCCTTGTGTACAGAGGGCAGAACGGGCCTGGCAGAGAAAACAACACGTGTATTAGCGGCAAAGTAACAAGGTCGAACTGCGGTAGAAACCTGCTTAGCAAAGCTATCGCTGATACTACCTAGCCAAGGAAGGCGGAGATACACATGACATCTTTTTACTATAGCAGTAAGATTCAGCAATTTTGTTCTTAATAATGGATAGGCATTGTTGCAGAGAATAGAAGTAATAAACCTGAGTTCATCATCCAACTTGATGTCCGAACAGATCATGAGAGTACAATGCGTAAGGGTCTTAATTAAATTAATTTTGCGTTTTCTGGGACAAAAAGAATCCCAACAGATATACAAAGCAGTAAACGTCGGTTTACGGTACACAGAAGTACTAAAAACTGACGTAGATGTGCAGACGAGTACATCGACAAAGGGAAGAGATAAATCAACCTTCTTTTCCGGTGTAAATTTCAAGGCCGGATGTATATTCTTAGGGTACGCAAGAAATTGGTCCGCTTCAATCTCGTTATCGAAGAGACAAAAAGTGTCATCAACGTAACGGAAATAAACGTCAGGTTTATCAGATTTTAGTAGTACACTCTCTTCCTGGAACCTAACAAAGATATTTACTAAGATGGAACCCATCGAAACACCATCAATCTGCCTGTACATGATGCCGTCGAAACTAAACTCAACTGACATCGTGGCAAATTTCATCAGTTCAACAACTGACTACGATATAGAGCATCAGCACATATATCGATAGTCTCAGCAAGTGGAAAGCAGATAAATAAACTGGCGATATCATAGAAACACATAAATTTATGCGTAGGCGAATAACACTGCATAAAACGGGAGAATTCAAATGAATCTCTGATACAAGCAGAGTTATACTGCCCCAAAACCGGTTGCAGTATAGTGGAAAGCCATTTTGGGTAAGCCATAGAGACGAGGGTCTAATCAAATTTGAAATATCAGTGCGCAATTTCCCACTTTTTACCCACTTAACCAGACGTTTTTGGAACTTGGACTCAATAGATAATGTAGAATCAATTTATCTATTGGACCTAACCGGAAAAATTTAGAGGAATCTCCAAGAATTGTCATCATCTTATTAACATAATCATGATAGTCAAGGATGACGACGCCAGAACCCTTGTCGGGTTTCGTAATTACCACAGGTTTATTATTACGAAGTGTTTTAATTATCTGAAATTGCTCCTCGCCCCACTTCGATTCATTATGTGAAACAGGAGTACTTGCGTTACAATGTGTTATATTATTCAATTTTGCCTTGAGGTCGCTGACTTTGCTAGCAGATTCAGGTTGGAGTTTGGCTAGCTGCACAAACAAAACCTCAAACTCCGATTACACCACCTCTTAATACGTGAGTGGGGAATACAAATATATATATATATATAATACTGAGTGTAATCCTTATTTTATACAAGTTTCCGTGAAGATGACTGACAAGGCCTTATGATTATGCTTTATTAAACATTTCTTGTATTTGTACAAGGGTATTCTTTTCTGGACATAAACTGCCTAAAAACTATTCAAACGATTATTTAGGCAGTTTTTAGCCACTTTATGCAGACAAAAAAACTAACTTGTCAGAATGCAAGAGAAATATAATAAAGCTTTTTCTCAATGCCTACTCAGTACTCCTCTATAAGACACACTCACACACACAGATATTTATATATATATATATATATATATATATATATATATATATATATTAAATGTTTTATGGATATAGATGAACAGTGCTCATTAGTAGAGAGATTGTTTATAAATAGGGACATCACTTTAGGCAATAGGAATCAACACTACATAGGGAGTGTCAAGCCTTAACCTTAAGATTACATTGAAAGTTTTTTGACATGCAGTGTTGAATCTTATATCTAAACTCTGTCGGTTTCTCTCTCTCTCTCTCTCTCTCTCTCTCTCTCTCTCTCTCTCTCTCTCAGTCTCTCTGCCCGTTTGGTGTTGACCTCAATGTCCACTCATATATATATATATATATATATATATATATATATATATCCTACGTTAAACTCTATCCTTCATAGCTGTGTTTGACTAAACTGAGCCCAGTTTTGTTTGCACCATAAATTAAGTTAAATATTTATTTGCTCATCTTTTTATGCATGTTATCGAACGCATATACACTTGTTAATATCTCGCTATTTAGTTTATATTTCTCACACATATGCACAAACACAAACACACGCAAACACCCACACACACACACATAGATAGATAGATAGATAGATAGATAGATAGATAGATAGATAGATAGATAGATAGATAGATGACCTAAACGCTGGGTGTCATCCAACACAAGCCTCAAGTGCCTCTCTATGTAGAGTACTATTTTGTGCCCGTAAAGGGGTAAGTAAGAAGTGCAGGATAGCTGAGAGGTCATCGTGGAGTTTATGAGCTTCTACTTGTAGTGATACTAGATGCATCCTCTCGGGTTTCGTTTTCATAAACCAGCGGCCACCAGAGAATAAGTTCCCAGAAGTGACTTTTCTTTTTACCAATGGAATACGAAGGGATGAGGATGATTCAACTTACATTTCCTGTTCCGGATCATTCTTATCCCAACTATGAGCGCATATGTCATCCGCGTAACCCATCCTCATCATGAGTAATTTGATCTCGGAAGAGAAAGCAGGATGTTTTATGGAATGATTAAATTGTACAGTGACCATCTCGTCACAACTGAACAGGTAACTATTTTAAACTTCTCTCGGTGAAGTCCATTTATCATAGTATTAAAATATGATAAATTATTTAATTGTGCATCTTATATTTCGTAAAATAAACATAATATTACGTATTCTTCTTTGAAGTTTTCGTGAACTAAACTAATTTGAAAATGTATTAATAATAATCATTCGTAATGTTATCTTCTCTACTTGAGATTGTGTATGTGCTCAGAGTAGGTGTTTTCCTCTTGCCTTCAAACTGTGTTGTGAGTGTCAAATTTCCTAAGCCCTCTTTCCTCAGTATGTGCCCGAGAAAGTTCAACTAAGTGTCAGTGTCTTTTTTGTTTCCATTTTCTCTAAAATTTCGTCGCTGCTCGAATGTTCAGTTCATGGTATTCTCAGCATCCTTCTGCAGAACAACATTCTGTTGCTTCATGTCTCTTCTTCATCTGTAAAGAGGTTGTCAAGAATTCACTGTCATGTAGGAAAACTGATATTACATAACAGTTCAGTACTCTAGTGAGCTATAACGTAACAAATTGTTTTTTCACTGTTTAGTTGAATGTTCAATAAACTGAGACTCATCTATTGAGCGCAGTCTTTCTCGCTTCTTATTGTTGGTGTTACTTGACGGCACACTCAAGAGGATTGCTATATTGTGCCGCGGCACAGCTGTTGAGAATCACGGCTATAACCTTATAATATCATTACTCGATTGAGCCATCGATTGAGCCATCGATTAGATTTTTTACGGCTTGTCAAACACTTTGTTGAATATTTAAAGCCGTAACGTATATTTGAATGTAAGAATATATTTTTGCGAGTGAATATTGCATTAAGTCTATATTGGAGATAAAGATTTTTCTAGATAGAAGTCCGATTATTTAATCTATAGCTTTGTAGATCGACACTAGGATTGTACAATGTGTTAACTGAATAATGCTTGTTAGGTTAAATATTCTGTAAGTTAGAGGGAACAAACTACATCCAATATTTAATCTATTTTTTTAACTTGAAAATTTAATAATAACCCTCTTAAGTTGCATTCTCTAAAGTTGAATACACGGAGACTACACCGATGACTGCGTTAAATTCGCAGGATTGTATTTCGAATGGTGATTTTCAAAAACAGGCAAATCATTCCTGTTGAAATAAACCACGTAAATCTATTTCTGCTGTTGTCGTATTTCTTTCTTGCAACTATACGCTTGTCTATAACACTTTTTTTAAAATTGAGTAACCATATGGTTGAGCTAAAATTTCTATTACATTCTTTTGCACTATTTTCTTACAGACGTGATGTGGCTTCCCTCTGTCTTTTCTACAGACATGTTCATGGCAACCGTTCTGACGAGCTGCTTTCACTGGTACCCCAACTGCATGAATTTAAGCGTGCTACTAGGTTGGCGTCTCTGTCTCACATTTTCACTGTCGATTCAGTTAAATGTAACCGCCTCTTCTACTTCAACAGCTTCTTATCGCTCACTTTCTGACAGTGGAACTCCGTTCCTCTTAATTTCTTCCCTGATAACTATAATCTTCAAATATTCAAATGTAATGCCAATCGACATCTTCTGATGCCTTGATCCTGATCCCCATCCTTCTCTATATCCTTTCCTCAAACACCCCTTATTACTATCAGTCTCTGTAACCCCTTGCGTGCTAGTGACACTCCCGCCTTGCTCTTTCCTTGAAAAGCTTTAAAAAAATTAGAGGCATTGTTTGTAAATTTTCAAAAGATTTTGTAGGTCTCGTTGTTTTAACGACATATCAAATCTTGTTTAATGTCGATTGTAAATTTTACTTTGTAAATTTTATACGATACAAATCCCAATGAATTACTAAATCCAATTGTAATGGTAATAGTAATAAATAGTTATAATTTCAATCGGAATCTTAATAAATACTACCATCTCTAATGGTAATAGTATTACCGTAATTCGCGATGTATAATACGCTTTCATCCATAATACGCACCCCTAAAATTTTGCTGAAGGTGTGGGAAAATACTTCTACTCATGCATAATATGCACCCTTTATTTGGTAATCAATCCCTATAATTTGTACCTCTCCAATTTCATTACGGCCAGAGTTTCCTACTCTTATTTAAAAATGGTTTTAAGCATAGAATAATATTATTTCAGAAATACTGCGATTGTTGTTTTTATTTTTAGAAGTGATAACAGTTTTTCATTCATCCAATTTTGGTTTAGGACCAAAGACAATAGTTTGGTGAATATTTATTACTTATTTTTGTATATTTCAAACCATTTTTTCTGGGTTCTGGAACATGGTTACTCTCATAAACAATTACAGAGAATTTAGTTTTTTTGAATTACGCTGGTCTACAAATACAGGTTCTTTGCATCTTCACGGAAAAGTTCGTATTTTCATATGAAGTAGCAGGAACTTGAACACGATGAATTAAAGAAGCGATATTTAAAAGTGATAGAAACAAACATATCTAAAAAAAAAAACAAACTCTTTTGTATTTGATTATGGATTATCTCAAAATACACCTTCATCCATAATATGCACCCTTAAAATTGTAATAAAAATGTGGGAAAATGCTTCAATGCACTACTTATTTGGTTATGAGACCCTATAAATTGTACCACTCCAATTTCATTACGGCTGGCATTTCATACACTTATTAAAATGGTTTTAAACGTAGAATAATATTATTTTAATTTAGTTTTATGATAATTCTTATTTTATTTTACATTGTAAATATTGATAGCTACATATGATTGTATTTGACATCCTTATGGTGTCGCAATCACCGAATGTTTGTGTTAAGATGTAGTGTTTGTGCTGAGTAGTCATTGCACAACTGAAATCGACATATAAAACGGCAATTTTTAAAAGATTTTGTATCTGTGCGCCCCTAATTTTGCTTATTATTTTTAGAAAAAAATGCGTATTATGCATCGGGATTTACGGCAACTAGTTCTAATTGTAATGGTAATGTTAATAAATACTTCAATTTGTAATTGTAAATACACCGTCTCCATGGAGAAAACATTACGTATTCATTAACTGAACGGTTGAAATTTCTAAAATCGTTAAATTAAAATAAATTTCTCTTCGGAAATTTAGAGTTTCTCAAGTCCAATAAATGTCATAACTCATTCTTAGTATGATTGGCGTTTCCTTCCAATTTTTTTGGTTTTTAATATTGAGTAATGTCAACGTCTCTATGATATCATTACACTTTTGTGCAAATTAATTGGACCAAAAGGAATAATTCCGTTATTACTTACATTTTTCGTATTTTTCCAGTAAAACATGACACACTGCGCATGTTAGTACTTCGTATAACCATTTTACAAAGTCGTACCTTGCAGATTAACAACAGATTTTCCATCGGATCTAAATCAGGAAAGTTTCCGGACCCATCTATAGTATTTTGATGTTTTCACTGGTAAGGATGCCAGTGTGTTCGAGCAGCGTTATAACTTTCGTACGCTTCCATAGATTAACGTCCATCGCAGACAATGGTAGTAAGAAAACTAATCGACAGGTAAGACAAGAGCGTTTGATTGTGATTAAAATCTGATGCAATCACAGATGACGCAATATTTTTCAAAGCCAAAAAATTTCATCATACACCCCGAAAATAGTCATATTACTGCACACCACTGCAAATGACCTAATCTGAGAAACAAATAGAAATCGCTAACACTCTGTGACTCCAGTGGATTGAAAACTGATCGTATGGTGAAAGAAAGGAAACTAAAATGGTTGTGTCAATTAATTTGGACAAGGATGTATGTCTTCTTTCAGTTATGCTGATTTCTCTTTCTACAAATGTCAGAAATTTCTAAATGTTGTTATTTTTTTTATAATAAATTCTTTGCGATTTTGTAGCATGAGTCTGATAAAAATTGTTTTCACCAAATTAAAAATATATTATGTTCAACAAGAATGAAATCGAATCATGGAACTCAGAATAAATCAATTTTTTTAGAAAAAAAAAAGCGGTTGAATAATTTGCAGTAATTAAAATTGGTGTTTGTCAAAAAAACAAAAATGAAGCAATAATTACATTGTGTTTTTAGTGATAACTCGATTTGAATATTTGTAGGCAAAACTTTGGCATGCTTATCGTTGCCCACTGAGTTTATCTTTACTCCAGCCGTTACCTTTCCCACGTCTTACGATATTTTCAGCATTAATAATTTAAACATGTGCAGGTAAAGCCGAGCAAATTGCTAATTATACAGCGAACAATTCAATTATTTTTATCTACAAGTTACTCGGGAAAATGAAAAGCAATAGATATATATTGCATAATCTCTTTCACTCTCTCTACCTATCTATTGCTGTCAATAATTTTTTCTTTGTCTATATATACGTAAATAGTTGCACAGACATTTAAATTCACGCATAGACAGAGAGAGTTGGTATAGAGAAAGAGAAATAAATAGAAAGACAGACGGAAGGTACATCATTTTTTTTTCCTGCCAGCAACGGGTCGGCCTTTTAAAAATATTCTGAATGTTTTGTCATTTGCGCCTTCCAAAAACTTGTCACCATTCGTAGAAATACAGACGCAGACACAGACACACACACACATATATATATATATATATATATATATATATATATATATATATATATATATATATATATATATATATAAAAAGACTAGACTAAAGGATAAGCAAAAGGAAATATGATTTCATAAAGATAAATATTTGAAATATTATAAGAAAATATATATATATATAGCATTAAATCTTCATATTCCATTCTGTGGTCACCGTTTTCAGGTTTTAGCCCCTGCACGTAAATAAGAAATAACTATTATGTTTGTCTGTTTAAAAACCTTTATTTTATGACTTCATTTTCAAAAAATTCTGAGCTATTTCTAATGCCTAGTTTTCACCCACCGTGTATATATGTACAAATTCAGATATAATATATCTATAAAAGGTAAATATGAATAAAAGTAAAAAGAAAACTTTCCTTAGCCGGCATGTCTAGTCCTCTGAGTGACTTTATTAAGGCAAGTGCATGGATTTTATTTTGCAACGAGTATATATATACAAAAACAAAAATGTTATTCTTTTGGAAAATTTTTAAATTTAAGGAAGTTCATAAATATTCATCAGGTTAGCCTGAAAGTCTCGTCAAGTTATGGAGGACGCAAAGTGATACAATTCTATGTCTAATAAACGAAAAGCGCAAGTTGAAATTTTATGTCTAATAAACGTAAACGAAAGGCGCAAGTTGAAAATTTTTTTTAATGCAAATTAGTATTTAGATAATTTTACCTTGGGATTAATTTATGTGTCATATATTTTAAATAACATTAGGTTATTCAACCATTTTCTTCTTTTTTTACATTTTTATAATCATATGAAGATATTTTTAAAAAATCCGAGGCATAGATTTTTAGTTTGATAAATTTCGATAGCGCCATTATCGAGAATGTTTCGTCTAAGTAAGTTGCTTTTTCCTTTTAATATTTGTAGCATTATTTAAATCAAAGTTGTGATTGAATTTAATTTTATGTATAACTAATGCATTTGGTAAATTATTGTGCATAAGATCCCTTTTGTGTTCACAGATATGTTTTTTTTTTTTAAAATTTCTGCAGGTTGTCCCCAAAGTATTTTGAGGAGCGGTTCTGGCAATTTATTTTGTATATACCCGGTTCAGAATTATTATTACTGTGGATATTTTGGGTCCTGATCATATCCTTAATAGTTTTGGATGCGATTACAATTATTTCGATGTTGCCAGGAGCGGATATATTGTTTTGGACAGTGGGTGTTACGGAGGTTGTAGGCAGTATTATCCTACAGTTTTTTACCTAGTTTATTGTCATTGTTATTGTTAATAATCTTACTAACTTATTCGCAGTTATATATTTTCTATGTCTTTCGCCTAGCATTGTGGATAAAAAAAAGGACATCGGAGATTTGTGAAAGTATTTTCCAGGTATACTTTTTTCTATGGGTAAGTATTGGGGGCTGTTGATTCTTAAACTATAAAATAGGATGTTTTAATTATTACAGATTTGATCTTGTTACAGTGGTGGGAATAAAAATTCATAAAGTCCCCCAGAGTACGAAACGCGTCGGTTGAGGTTTCCTTTTTTTCTTTATTGAAATATATATATATATATATATATATATATATATATATATATATATATATATATATATATTATTTCTCTGTACTTGCCCGAAGTATATTTTTATTGAATGTTTCATTGTTTATACTGAAGTTCGTTTTCGCAACTGAGCATTATTTTTTACATGCTTTCTGTTCCTTTTCATAATTACTCTGACTATTTAAGTCCAACATCGTTTCTTGTAATTTCTCCTATGACTTATATGTTAGTACAATGACGTGACTTCCTAGGTATAACAATAAACTACATCGGGAGGTTTTGAGGAGCATGGAACCACATCTTAATTGCTCTTGTTTCCAGGTCCATCCTGACCCGGGGTGGTATCAACTTTTAAAGTCACACCTATGGGCAAATAGTTAACCCACAAACTGGGACCAAATCACTATGAAAGTATACAAAATATAGTACAAATACCAGTACTAGATTTTCATAGTAAAAAAGTAATAAAAAATTACCAGCAACACATTTCTGTAAGGAAAAATAGTATTAGCAGCAATACATTTATGTAAGGAAAAATAATATTAGCAGCAATACATTTCTGTAAGGAAAAATATCAGCAATACAGTTTTGAAATAAAATAATTACCAGCATTAGATTTTTTGTAAAATTACCAAAGCTCCCAAGGAAATTAAATTTCAGCATTACATGACCCAAAAGATGCTGATATGCCGTTAAACAAACAAACTATACAATGACATGGGCACGTCATAGATGGTTTGAATATTCACCGTTTATGTTTTTTGGGTAGAGGATGTAATGACTCTTCTGGCTGTAAACAGTCAAAATTTGGCAATGTCTTATATTAAATTTGCAAAAGACTCCAATTGCATATAAATATTTAATCATCGGGACATTTAATCTTAGAGGACATGTGAAAAAAGAAGGAATTATTTAATCGGGGTGTCGATTGTTATAACATCGATGTATATTGGCTCCAAGAAACCAAAACCATATATTACTATCAATATCAGAGTCTGAATGCCCACGTTAACAGCTTTTGGGATAGCATTATTTACTGGGATGTTTTTTCATCAATACCAAATCGAAGAATAACATCCATAGATATTGGACGAAAAACCAAAGTATACACATTGAAGAACGACATTAAAAGAACTATAATTAATATTCCATCATAAAAGGTTTGGAA